ATTTTTTAATAAAAAAAAAAAAAAAAAAAAATAATAGTTATATATTAAATAAATAAATAAAATATACATATGTAACACCCCAAAAAATGAGAGTATAGTATTTAAAGACTAAAAGTATCGTTAAATGATTCTAAAAACAATTATTGTCTCTAAATAGTAAATAATTATAGTGCAACACTTCTTTTATTCAACAACAGTTATGACATTAGTATAATGCATCAAATATAGTATAATAAAATTAAAATTATTTTATGTATACACTATACGTGTTCTGTGTATGTATGTCTATTAACTATACTGAACTGATATGGATTTACAGCATGATGTGTTATTAGATAATTTGGTCTTGGATATTAATGCCCTAAAAACCCAAAAAAATGCCCTTAAAAAATACTTTTATGACTTAAAAACTCGTATTGAACGTCGAACGATATCATCGGATGTTGATTTTACCGATTCAAGATTATTTAATAAGAAATGCGGGTTAGTGGATACTCAAACCTTAAGGTTTTCAAAATTGTTGATAATATAATACGAATTACGAGTATTTATACCTACTTATATTCTGTTATATTTATATAAAAACCATGTTGGCGTAAAAATCTTTAAATAAAATTTCAAATTCATACTTGGTTTCCGAAAACTCTAAAATACCCCACAAAACTAAGAAAATGACCTAAAAACTAAAAAATCCCTAAAAATGCAAAATAAACTTTCTTATTCTCATTCATATAAGTACATAAAACAAATTTGTGACCAGACGAGCATTGCACACAGTAAGCTTTGGAAAACAATGCAAAGTGCATCGAAATCCCAGCCCTATAGATTATTTTTATTTGTTTTATATTTTCATAATTTTAATTATTAAGTTGAAAACTAAACTTTTAGCTAATTGCTTAATTAATACTATGTTTACGTTTTCCAGAAATTCCGAGAGACGAAAAGAAAAATCAAGAGATGCAGCTCGATCTAGACGTAGTAAAGAAACCGAGATATTTACTGATCTCGGATCAGCATTACCTTTACCAGCATCAGTTATTAGTCAGTTAGATAAAGCGACTGTTATGCGATTGACTATTGCATCTTTCAAAATTATGGACGCTTTATCATCAAGTAATTATAATTCAAAATTATATTATGTAATAGTAATAATCGTGAGTAAAGGAAAGTTATAGTTATAATATTACAGTGTCGCTAGGATATTTAAATAAAAAATGATAATAAATTAAAACTGCAAACTTAAATCAATTTTATACTTACTAAAATAATAGCGCTTTATTATTTTGATTATACGTATACAATTTTTAGTATTATTTTAAGTGTGTAAAGTAAAGCTTTCGATTGTACACAAATAAAAATACCCATTACGTATATGTGTAAAACTTTTGTGTTCTGTCCAAAAACTATATAATCCGATTGCAGCTAAACCGAAAAACGTTCAACAACACCAATTATTACGTTTAATTATATTTTAATATATAGGACGTCGAAATTTATCATTTTTATTAAATTAAATATTCTTATCATAGACTAAAGGTTAAGTACCTGCTATTAATACTAAATAATTATGATTTAATGATGCATTAAAACTTAAAACCATCAAATTTTCATTCATAACCTAAAAATTTTAACATTTAAAAACCAATATTCCACATTTTAAAATGTTGAAAACAATTGATAACTTGAATATTTATTTTTCAATAGAAAAACTTAAACTTAAAATATAAGTTTCAGTTTAAGTTCTTGATTTTCATACTCGTATTGAGTAAAACTTTATGTAATAGGTGATCCATAATTAAATTATTTATATGTTTTTACTTTCAATGCATTATATTGCATTATTCTTATTTTTTTATGGATAAATTCACTCAAATATTATAATAATATAAATATTATATATAATAAAATATTCATAAAATTAACAGGTTTAAAATAGATTATAAATTTGTAATTAATATCTACCTTAATAAGTAATATGTGACTAATTTATTAAAATAAAATATAATTAGAACAATTTTGTATACTTTTATTTTATTTCTTTATAATGTAACGCGTTCTTTACTGTAATATCAAATATTATTGTAACTTGATATTAATATTTAACAACTTAAACGTTCGAATGATTTACAGTTATTTCTTTAGTAAAACAACAGTCCAAAAATAGGCTTTATTGTGAAATATTTTAACGTATGGGGTCAGACATAAATCCTGTCAGCCTTGGGAGGTGGAGTAGACCATAGGCCTTAGCTGTTTAATAATCAGTTAAATTATTTAATTTTTCTAAAAATCTATTGTTATAATATTCTAGCTATGTATCTATGAAGAAAATAAATTTACAAATACATGTACTGATATTCGTTTTTATTATGAATTTTTCAGCAAATATTGATGTAAAATCCGATGAGAAAGATTGCCCTCCAAACATGAGTGGGATATGCAACAAAGCATTGGATGGCATTGTCTTAATTACTTCGGCAGATGGAGATATAATATTCATATCGGAAAATATTTCCAACTATTTAGGCTTATCACAGGTACCTTCTACTATATTTTAAAACAATGGAGCGTAAACTTTAATTTGACATGCGCGAACTGCGTATACAGGGCGTAACAGTATACACTCGTTCACTCGTTGATATCATTGCATGTAGAATGTTTTTATTAATTTGTGTAATGATTTTATTATTGCGAGAAGAATATAATTTGAATTTAACTACAAATTTACGGCAGATATTTTTTTTTTTAGATTGATTTGATCGGACAGTCAATTTATGAGTTCGCCCATCTTTGTGACCAAGCCGAATTGAAAGCCATTTTAACCAGCAAAGACATAGGTGAACAAAAGTCGTTTTTTGTTCGAATGAAATGCACTCTGACAAATAAAGGGCGCAATGTTAATTTGAAATCAGCGTCATATAAGGCATGTATTTTAATATTATGGTGAATATGATGACTATATAGTATATACTCTATAAAGGAAAAATTGAATGCGTTGATATCTATTTATTTACTTACATGGAGTTATAAAATTATTTGTGGGTTTTTAAACAATACGATTTTATACTACAGTCAGGTACTCATCTATTTTACAAGAAACAAAGTAACCTCACAACCCGTTTTAACATGTTAAACGTTTCTCAGAAATCTGAAACGCGTGACTGCGTGAGTGGCATGTTTAATATATTATTACTGAGTAGGTATAATAGTTAACGGCGAATGAATGAGTGCAACATAGTTTGAGATTCTCCACTTTTACCTCAACACAATGCAATAAATACCTGTTTGTCAGGATAATTTTTCTTGTGAATAATTAATGATTTTATCCAAATTATTAAATTGGTATTCTTAGAATTATACACAACTTGATTTTCGCAACCTATAATATGGTATAAACGGAGGTATTTTGATATGACGTAGACGTGAAGTTCCTAACTTTCTTTACTTTTAAAGAAGATCACGTATACCACGATTGGAGAATTTAATTTTTGAACATTAGATAGACCATAATTATATGTTAGGTATATATATACCACCAATTTAGGGAACACTGCATTTTTCGGCTGAATTATGTTGGAATAAATCGAATTTTTTTTACAAGTTAGTATATAAATACACATTTTAAGATAAATTTCAAATTTTCAACCCTCTCGGTACGTGCCTTATTTTTATTTATAGAAACCGGTATTTTTGATACCAAATTCAGATAGACTGAATTTTTTAAAGTCATTTTGACCATTTAACCATGGTTCTAAAACCAAAATTGACTGAATGAGAACCATCCATTCAAATTTTAATAAATGATACATTTTTACAATTCATTATAAAATGCATAAATTTATAATTATTTATCATTGGTTACTTTTTGAATATTTTTACGTTTTTTTTTTTTTATACGTGTTATAAATAAGATTAACATAATACGGATATAAAATTATTTAATTTAAATTGATTGCAATTGTATACGTAACGACATTCAAAAAGTAACCAATAATAAATAATTATAAATAGTTTTATGAATTTTATAATTAATTGTAAGAATGTATTATTTATTAAAATTTGAATGGCTCTCATTCATTCAATTTTGGTTTTAGAGCCATGATTAATTGGTCAAAATGACTTAAACAAATTTAGTCTATCCGAATTTGGTATCAAAAATACMGGTTGCTATTAAAAAAAAAATTAGTTGCGTTGCGTATGCGCGTACCGAGAGCGTTAAAAATTTGAAATTTATCTGAAAATGTGTATTTATATACCAATTGCTTATAAAAAAAATTCGATTTGTTCCTACATAATCCAAACGAGAAATTCAGTGTTCCCTAAATTGGTGAACACAATATGTGTTAAAATTAACTATTTATAGTTAATTTATTTTGTTTGTATAAATAAATGTTTACCTATACTTAAATCACTGCCCTATGCGGTCTCGATTTATTATAAATTAATTTAATTTAACAATTAACAGTATTCTGGACCATTTGTTATATTTATTATATAAATAGGTACTATTTATTGTATTGCATTATAAATTTATAATATTTTACTAGCTACCTCATACTCGAATTGATATAATATTAAGATATACACTTAGATTGCACATTTTGCAGCGATGTTTGTAAATTTTTTTTAACTGTTTAATTTGCTAAACAAGAAAAAACCGTTTTCTGGTTCTGGTCGATAAAAAAATGTTTATTTAAAATAGTAAATTTACAATCTACACAATGATTTTCTTGTATAAAGTCCATAATATATTATAATGAATTAATACATTATACATCTTATATATATACGAATATCGGAGTATATATATATATAAATGGATTTCTGTCTGTTTGTCCTGTATGCATTCCTAAACGACTGGACCGATTACAAAGAAATTTGGTACAGGGATATAATATTAGACTTATGGACAGAACATAGGCTAAATTAAAAAGTGATAGGCCCAAATATCATTCAACAGACTGTTCTCGATAAAACAAATAAAATTACATAATTATAAACTAAAATGAATATCGTTGTAATATTATTACTTATTATATTTTAACCCTTAGCTATCTATATGTATTATGTATAATAATATACTGCTAGCATAATCACAGGAAACGAATTCAACAAACAGTTTCAGACATATAAGAGGTAGGATTTTTAACGGGCTACGAAGTGCATGGATGTTCAGCTAGTATGATATAAAAACAATTCAAATCGATATCCTACCAACAATTTTTGTGGATTATTTTTAACATTTTAAAAATGTGTCATTTTTTTCCATCATCATTCTATAAAAATCTTAAGAATAAGTACTTCATGTTTTGTGATTTTTATACGTTTTAAGTTATTTAAGCTTAGTTTTTGATAAAAAGTATCTACGTGATTTATCAAACCATTTACTATCAAAATATTCATTTTCAATAACAGTCTTAATTGATTATATTTAAATTTGGTTAAAAGCTAGTTTAAAATTCCTATCCACATATATTTACAATGTATTCTTGATTAAGTTAATGTTAGCAATATTATATGTAATTTACATAATTGGTTTTCATAGTATTCAGATTTGTATTTAACTATTAAATAAATATATTTAATGGTGGACAATATTCTTCTTCTAGACTAGTTGATATTTTTGTTGTAATCGTTAAAATTGTATTTAATAAATACTTACAATGTTATAAATATTCTAGTAATGACTAATAATCATCCTAAATGCAATAATTCTAAAGCCTCAAAAAATATTGCATTTACTACTAAAAAAGTATGCAAACTTCTTGTCCTATTTTTTTTTTTTTAATTGTTGCGTTTTTAATCTACAATATTACTGTATTATACATTTATGTAATAGGCACTCTAGATTGTATGAGATTTTAATTTTACCAACATTTATTCAAAATTCTGTAAATTGTCATATATTTTGTCTATTTTAGAACACCTAGTTTATAGTTAACCTACTTTATCTAGAAGTATATAATTGAATAATAAGAATTTTATACATTTTAGGTGCTGCATTTTACAGGACATTCAGTTATCAACACATGTGCCAAAATAAAATCATCAGTTTTATCAGATAGAGAATCTGATTCAGACTATGAATCAGATAAAAAAACAGATTCTGATAGTAAATCTAATAATAGTGATTTAAAGTTTGAAAATACTTCCGATTCTCCAACTCATATATTTGTGTCAATTGCTGAACCAATACCACATCCTGCAAATATTGAGATACCATTGTATAAACAGAGCAAGATATTTTTTAGCAAGCATTCATTGGATATGAAATATATAATTGCCGATGAAGTGTGAGTTGGAACAAAACATTGTTCAAATTATGTAATAAATTATTGTTTTAAATTGAAGTCATAAAATAAATATTATTTTTTTTTTTAAATAGTAAGTAATAGAATCTTGTTAATATTGAATTTCAGAAATGATAAATGTTTTTATTAATAAAGATGTTAACAAAATTAAAATTAAAAAATATTTAAACTTAATAATTATAATGTATTCATAATTACACAATTTAATAATTGTATTCTTTAGTATTTGTAAATATGAATTAAAAAACAGTTTTGTAAGAAATAATTTCTTTCAATTTAAAAATTATATTCATTTATTTTTACCTACTTACATTTAAAGAAAACAACGATTAATTAATCTAGGATCATTTAAAAAAAAGTAATTTAATTCCTTCTTAATGATAAATAATTTTAATATTTTATTTTTGACTTTCTAAAGAAATTGATTGATCTTTACTATTTTTTTTTTTGTTCTGAATTTTTTTTTCTTAAATCATCACATTTCAATTATTCGTCTATTATTAAAGTCTTAGGATAATTGAAGTAGTTTTAAAATTTTATTTTATTTTTTGTAATTTTTGTCCAATTAATAAAATTTTTTATAATAACATTATAACCCAACTGCTTTTAATAGTTATATAATATATTTTTCAAATACAGGAATCAAATAGATAGTTATACAATTTTCTAATGATTCTGTCAATGATAGTTTATCAAAATAACAGTACTATTTATGTTTGTACAATTTTTTATTGTAACAATTTAAAACACTTTTAGGACAAATACCAAGTTTTATATTTTTCAATAGAACTTTAAAATATCTAATCATTTTAATTAAAATAATGAAGTGAATCTAGTTTGATCATTTGTTTTGTTATTTTGTTATTGCTTGTGTTGTATCAATGATATATTATATTTATTATTAACTTTGTTTGTTATTGTTGAACCATTTTAGATTAAAACTTATGCTGTGTATAGGACCAACATTTTAAAACTATTTGACATTTAAAAAAATATTAATTTTTGTTTTATGATTTCATAACTTTTAATCTTGAAGTTCATTTTAAAAAAATACAATTTTTGTAGATAAATATATTATTAAATATTAATCAATATTAACACAAAATATTAATTCCAAATATTTTCAATATTTTAATTTAGTTTTTGGTCTACATAAAATAAAAATAAATTATATCATGTGGTTTATAGATATATTTTTAAATAATTTCATTTAAAAGTGCATAACTGAAAATAATTATCTTTAATTATTACAATTATTATTTTGTATTTTTAGTTTAACAAACTATGTGGGTTATGAACCAGATTCACTAGTTGCAAAGTCTGTGTTTGATTATTACCATGCTCAAGATTGTAATTCAGTTGAAAAAAGTTTTAAAATATGTGAGTATAATGACTTAAATATTAATTATTTATTTAAAGAAAGATTTAAAAGATTTAATTAATAAATAAATACTTTTTTCAGTATTCGAGAAAGGACAAGTAGAGACAAACAAGTATAGATTTTTGGCAAAAGGAGGTGGTTATGTTTGGATAATTACCCAAGCTACCATACTTAATGACCACAAGGGTCTCAAACCTGAGAGCATTATGTGTATTAATTACGTAATCAGGTAAGATGTCTTATGCTCATATACAATGACTGACTGGCTATAGTATGTTAGTTTGCTGTAGTACACTGGGTCTGTTCAATATGTTGGCTGGGAGTTGTTGAATATTTTATAATGTTACTTTTATTATTATTTTATCATTATTGAATACTTTGTGACAAATAATATCCCAGTCTGTCTTTGTTTAAGCTTATCTCTGTAGTATATTAGTATCCAATATAACAGAATATAAATCAGTTGAAAAGAATATCTAATGGTTTTATAAGTATTGTTGTATTCTATATTATGTTTTGAGCAAGTTTAATTTAATCAAATAATACAAACACAATAGAAACATTCCTCAAACATGGGTGTAAACATAAAATAATAACTACTTTCTATATACATTTATGACTACAAAATCTGTAATAGTATTAAAACGAATACTGAATTATATCTTTAAGTATGTTAGAATATTACATATGCATCCACAAATATAGCACAAATGAATATTTAGAAAATATATGTAGTATGTACAAAATAAACTGTTATTAAAATAAATAGTAAAATTGATACAGAAAGAAACATCTATTTAAAAAAATTCTTTATTCAAATTCATCTTGATTAAGTAATTAGAAATATGTGTCTTGATAATTTTTGATTTTAAAATTACACAGGTATTTATAATATTATTATAATATTATAATAATATTTTTATTATTCATTTAAAAATAACACAAGTACTTAGATATTTTAATTAATATTTAATAATATTTTTAAATAGAATTTGATAAATTATTTTCTTTATGCATATTTATATATAAAGTGTATTAATTATGCCTATCATAATTGCTTATTTGTTTTAAAATTTTAATTTTTCTTGATAAACAAGATGGGGAAAGATTTTTTCTCTGTTATTTTAATAGAAATTTAGTATAGTATTGTTATTTAGATGTAATTATATATTTTAACAGCAAAATAATATCATGTTAATTATTGCGTCAATGAAATAATGATTTTAATAAATTTTGATTTTTACACAATGTTTAAATAACAGTATAACATTATTTTTGCGTTAAAATACAATGTTAACTTTATACTTTTTTTTAATTGCTAAGGTTTTTTTAAAAATTATATCACAAATAATCAAATTAGATATCTTGCACACATTTAATCAAATAATCATTATCTTACACTAACAATATTAAGCATTTATTGTATAATATGCATTATTATAATTGGCTAGAATAATATTGTATATAAAAATCTTGTTACGATTTCACGGCGCTTGATATAGGCAATTCATGCGCAACAAAACTATTATAATAAGACTGTTTTATTCAAGTAATATAATAGTAGTATTGTACGATATAATAGTTTTTTGAACTGTTTCTAGTGTACGTGTAAGGAGTTTATATAAATTCAAATATAATATAATGAAATGTTGACAATTTCTTGCATTTACCCAATCATACTGCCTGTTTGTATATTTTATATTATTCATTTTTAAGCGTGAAATAAAGAATCGCTAATAATGTGTGTACATTAGCCTAATTATCGACTAGGTTGTTCAAAACTAACACAACTTAATTGTTTTCGTACAAATTTAAAATACTCGTGAGAATAACATAACATTAAAACAAAAACAGGACTTATTTGGTGCGCATTTATAATTTAGGTATAATTTTATTGATTTCTGTTTTTATAACTATAACTTTACTGAAATTTTACATGATCTTTCGCGTTGTTTTGTAAAAATGTCATGCACGTAATAGATGTTTGACACTTGTGCATTCGTAATTCGTATGTATTCTTTATTTGAATTATCATTGGCCATCGTTTTTGTATAATTCTCGATGCATACTTTAGTAGGTATATAGACTTCGCGGTGTATCCAATTTTTTTATCGCCTCACGTTTAAATATTATGCGTAAAAGTAAAAGTAATTTCCGTTTTATGTTCTATTGGATTTATTGTCAACGTTGCACAAACTTAACAACTTTAATTCGTAAGCTGATCACTTAAATCAATCGTTTAAAAGAATTAGAAATTTGTGATTTTTAAGTCAACCATAATATTATATTTGCATACAGCGTTTGCGTCATACAAGTGTCGAATATCGGAATATATTAGAAATATCAGCCTCCGTGCTGACCTTGCTATAGGTACAAACCATTTTCACAGACTACATTAACAAATCTAAATGCATAGGTTATTTAATGTATACTCAAACGAGTTCTATTAATCATAAATATTCTACTACACATGCAGATATTGAAATACTTTGGCGAAATTGGGGCCTCTGTATTTTTCCAGTAAATATTTTTAAATTTATATATATATTTTTGTTAAGAATTTATAGCCACGAAGGTTACTCATCATCAAATATCTCATTGAACACATAATATTATTATACTTTCCTTTAATATCGATTGATATAATCTATAAGAGTTTAAGTCTTCATGCTCGGTTCGCAAAGTTTAAAGAAATGTTATTTATAGGACATAGTATATTATAATTTAATTTTTTTTTACTATATCTTATAATCGATCTTATTTTTTAGCTTCTACTATGTACCTATAACAAATTGTTATAACAGTTTTATTACACGATCTAAAATGTTCAAATACATTTTTTATTGCTGTCTGTTTTGCTGTAGCGTGTGTCGTTGTATAGAATTGGCTTCTCACGAATGTTTTCTAAAAATTAATGTGTGTGTAGTAAATTAAGTTTTTATAAATGTGAATAGTTATCAAAGGCATGATGTAAGTAATATACAAGCATAATATCGTATTAAACTTTTAATATTATTCTAAATAAAAATTTTTACTTATCATTTTTGTGTATTTATAGATATCTTATTAAAAATATAAATTGGTAATTAATATTTATGATGTGAAAAGAAATAGGAATAATGTTCAGTAATCAGTAAATAAATGTSAAATTTACCAGAAATTATAAATGTCCTGTAAGATATGCATGTAATTTTAATGAAACCATAGGCCTTATAATGATTTGCCACATATCAATACCAATGTTATATTTAAATTTGCCGCTTTAGGTATTTGGTAAAATAACTTTTCAAAGATTAAAAGAAAACAAATATTATTATGAGATAACTGTTTTGATTCAGCAAATCATTTTTTAATTCTCATTATTTTATTTATTATTATTTGATTGGATAATACGTATACTATCAAAGTATATTCAGTGAGAGTTTGAGAACTTTTTGAGAACTCTTACGGATATATTATCAGCTATTATTTTTAAATATTTTTTTTAAATTGTTTATTCTAACTACTTATCGCGTATTTTAGCAATGCTTGCATACATATATGATACTTTATTACATTAAATAATCTCAAACAAATATTATGTGATTATTTTGATAGATGTACATTTTATCTTTTATAAGTGATTTAGTTATACTGAAATGAATTATATACTTATGGTTTCTTAAATAATCTTGTATAATATTCTACTCTCATAAGTAAATTATACTGAAGTACATAAGTTATATTATCTGATATATATAAATAATAATAATAATAATAATAATAATAGTAGGCAAGTTAAAACAACTAAGAGATAAGTACCATAAGTGCAACTATAGTATAATATACAAATTCTTACTATAAATTATTTTTTATGAGTATTAAGTTTATTGAACTACGAAAAGTAGTTTTTTATCTTAAGAAATTATTCGCATTCATTTGGTTAATTATGTGTCTTTATTAGCTGACAATTGACATAATTATGGTTCCATATTTATAATTTATAATATATGGTGATTTAGATATAAACATTAAATGCTTATTGTAAATTGTAATCACTCCTATATAATTTGTAAATAATAATTTATAATTAGCAAAAATTCAATTCTTTATAACATTCGATTTAAAGAATTKTGCATTTTTATTAAATTCGAATAGATTTAAATCTAACTATATTTAATTTAATAAACTGCATTATACCCATAAAGTTATGTACAAATTCTTCTAATTCTTCTAATTTGTTATTTATATTATTATAACACTCATTCAATTATGGCACTAAGTTCTTATCACACAATACATTTTTTTTTATGCATTTTCTATCAAATAGAGTATTATAGGTATGTCACAGTATTGTTGTTTAAAACTTCTATAAAAGTCAATTTTCTTTAGCCTATTTGTGTTCTTGTTAAATCTAATAGTTTTTTTGTTTGATCCATTCAGCTACCATCATAGGTCTACTACCCTTGATTTATACAATGAATAATGTAAAAGATCATATTATGATATTTTATTTAAATTATATTCATCTGATTTATCATGTTCTTCACATCTTTATTTGTTGAAGATAGTATACAAAATAATATTGAAATATCGTATTTAGAGCCTATTCAATACAGTAATATGATTCTTCGCGAAATTATTTTATTTTATTTTTTTCAATAAATAATGAAATATACCGTCATTCAGTTATGTATGAATCATATTCATATATAACAATAAAACCATAAATCTGAGCGTGCATTCATTTAAAGGAAACATAAAGAATTTTTCTACATATTTGTAATGTATAAAACGAGTGTTTTCTGTTGAAAGTAAATAATAATATCGCATCAAAAATGCTCACTGCAGTCTACAAATACACGTGTTGTTATATTTATGTTCTACATTTCTACGTGTATAGTTGTATACCCGCGTTACCTAATAACTTAATATAATTTATGCGTTTGAAATGTATTGTAAAATGTGTATATCAGTGGCAGGTTACCCTACAGGCAAAGTAATCAGGTGATTGGAGCGGCAAATTTTTCGCACTTAAAAAAAAATTTATATATTAAATTATATTGTAATTTATGAATATATTAGTCATAAGTCATTACTCATTAGGTTATTAACTCACTGAATACTAAAATGGTTTCGATGAACGCGATCAACTCAAATTTTTATTATTAGCAAAAATATGTTTTTTCCTGGGCACGGTGTATTTAAATACAATCATAGCTATACATTATCGCGATAGCCGATATGGCG